TCAATGACATAGCTTGGGGCCCTGAGCTTGGCTAGTTTGGCCCTCTCCTCGTCTTCTGGTAGCGTGCCGGAGGTGATGTAGGTTGCGATGTCAGTGATCCAATCCTCCGGCTGGTGTTGGATGGAGAGTATAGGGCTGGCGTGAATGCTTGACATGCTCAACTCCTCCACCTTAGCTATCTTGGAGATGTGCTCAGGGGTGTCGGAGCTGAGTTTGGAGAGTATGTCAGCCTCGGCGTTCTCTACCCTTGGGATCTGAGTGATCTCGTAGGTATCGAACGCCTTGAGTAATTCCGCAGCGGCCTCCTTGTATTGCTTCATCCTCCCTTCTTTGGCCTCGTAGGAACCCTCCATCTGGCTCACTACGAGTTTGGAGTCGCATTTGATTCTGACGTGGCGTGCTTTGAGGCCAGCGGCTAGTCTGAGTCCGCTGAGGAGCGCCTCATATTCAGCCTCATTGTTGGATACTTTGAAGTTGAAGCGAATGGCGTAGTATGCTCTGAATCCTTCTGGGGAGATGAGGACGACGCCACCCCCACAAGCTTTGGTGGCCGAGGACCCGTCCGTGTACAGGGTCCAGGCTTCGTCTGGTTCGGCTCCTGTAGTGGTAACGGCCGTCTCCCTTGCCGTGCACTCGGTGACAAAGTCAGCCAAGGCTTGCCCTTTGATGGATGGCCTCGGCTTTATCTCAATCTGGTACTGGCTCAAGAATATTGCCCACTTGATCATCCTTGGGGAGCTGGTTGGGCTCCTCATGAGGGCGCCCAACGGCTGATGCGTGAGGACATGGACGGGGTGAGCCTGGAAATAGTGCCCCAGCTTTTTCACCGTGTGGACGATGGCAAGCACCGTCTTCTCAATAGGGGAGTACCTGAGCTCGGCCTCCCGCAACGTCTTGCTGACGTAGAAAATTGCTTTTTGCACCCCGTCATCCTCCCTGATGAGTACGGAGCTGACGGCCGACGTGCTAACTCCTAAGTAAAGGAATAGAGTCTCGCCGGGTTGGGGCTTGGATAGGACGGGTGGGGAGGCGAGATATTGTTTCAGCTCTTCGAAGGCCTGTTGGCACTCTGTCGTCCACTTGAAGCTGGTGGCCTTCCTCATTATCTGGAAGAAGGGGAGTGACTTCTCTGCGGACTTTGAAAGGAAACGGTTTAGGGCCGCAAGGCGTCCCGTCAGCCGTTGCACCTCCTTTATGTTGCGGGGCGGCTCCATATTGATGATGGCTTGTATTTTCTCCGGGTTCACCTCGATGCCCCTTCGACTGACCAGGTACCCCAGGAATTTACCTCCCTGGACGCCGAAGGTGCACTTCTTTGGGTTGAGCCGGAGGTTGTATCTCTTCATGATTTCGAAGATGCCCCGGAGGTCGTCGGCATGCGTAGTGGATTGTTTGCTCTTAACGATCATATCGTCGACGTATGCTTCCATCGTCCGACCTAAGACTGCTCTAAAAATCCGGGCTACCATCCTTGTGTAGGTGGCGCCGGAGTTCTTGAGCCCAAAGGCCATGACGAGGTAGCAAAAAATTCCCTCCGGGGTCATGAAAGCAGTCTTCTCCGCGTCATCTTCGTGCATGGATATCTGGTGGTACCCTCTGAACGCGTCGAGGAACGACATCAACTCGCACCCCGCCGTCTCATCCACCAACTGATCAATGTTGGGGAGAGGGAATGGGTCCATCGGGCACGCCTTGTTCAGGTCAGTGTAATCAACACACATTCTGAACGTGGGTGGCTTTGGGGCGAGGACGACGTTCGCCAACCACGTGGGGTACTTCACCTCTTTTATGTGCTTGATGGAGAGCAGCATGGCCACCTCGGCCTTGACAAATTCCCTCCTGTCGGCTGAGAGGTAGCGCTTCTTCTGCTTGATGGGGGAGGAGGCCGGGTTCACCGATAGCCGATGTGTGATTACCTTCGGGCTGATGCCCGGCATGTCCTCTGGTCCCCATGCGAAGACGATGGTGTACGCTCTCAGGACAGATAGGATGTCCCTTCGGATCTGTTGGGGGAGCTGTGTCCCAATCTTCAGCGTGCGTTCCGGCCGGGAGACGTCCAACGGAACATCTTCCACGTCTCCGACCGGTTCGGCCTTTGGTGTGTCTTCTTCGGCCGAGGCGGTGGTGATGGTATCTATCCGTTCTTCGGCCTCATTGATCTTTCTGGTGAGCTTCAGGTAGCAAGCTCGGGCTATCTTCTGGTTTCCTCTGGCGTAGCCGACGCCGTCCTTGGTGGGGAACTTGAGGCATAGATGTTTCATGGAGATGATGGCCTCAAGGTCCTCCAGGGCCGGTCGGCCCCAGATCATGTTGTGGGCGCTGTCCAGGTTGACGACCACGAACTCCATGTCAATCTTCGCCTGATTGGTACCGTCACCGACCACAACGGGAAGCACTATCGTGCCCTCGGCGTCGATAGAGTCCCCGGTGAAGCCGGATAACGGAGTCCGTATCGGCCGGAGCTCGGTCTTCTTCAGTTTCAATTGTCTGAAGGTGTCAACGTACATCACATTGACAGAGCTTCCAGTGTCGATGTAGTTGCGGTGGATGATGTTGTTGCCAATCTCGCATTTGACGACGAGGGCGTCCCTGTGGGGCAAGGGGCCGAAGGGGAGGTCCTTGTCGGTGAAAGTGATGGCCTCCATGTGCCGTCGCTTCGGCTGAGGGGGGGTGTGGGACACCTCACCAACGTATAGGGACTGAGCCCATTTTTTCCGTTGGGTAGCCGAGTCCCCCCCTGTGTTCCCGCCGACGATGATGTGAATGTGATGCTTCTTCTGGCGGGGCTCCTCTTCGTCCTCGTCTTCACTGAGGGCGCCGATCTCCCTCTTTTTCCCGGAGGATCCTTCCCCCCTTTTGCCAGGGTTAACCCAAGTGTTACTCTTGGGGGCACCCTTGACAAATTGGGAAAGTTCCCCCTGTCGGACGAGGCCGTCGATGTGCCTCTTCAAGGTGGTGCAATCCTCGGTCTTGTGGGATGTCTGGCGGTGGTACTTGCAGTATGTCCCTCCTTTGTGGACCGCAAATATCTCCTCCTCTGACCTGGGGTCCTTCACGATGAGGCCCTGCGCCTCGGCGTGGTCAAGGACGACGCTCACCGGGTGGGTGAGGGGGATGCGTTGTGCCTCCAACTTTGGACGCCATGAACGATCCTCTCTTCGCTGTCCGCCTTGCTCCTGGTGTGCCTTCTTTGGCTGGTGCTGTCCCTTGTTGGCCGGCGGGTGGTGGGGGTTGGACGAGGAGTCCTTCTTTTGTTGCTTCTCCCCACCCTTCTTCTGGTTCAGGAGCTCGTCGGCATCAGCGTGCCTATCTCCGCGTCGGAGCGCCGCGAGGTATGACCGCGGCGGCTCCGTGAACAGGCTCCGGGCGAAGTGGCTCGGCCGGAGTGCTCCGCGGAGGAAAGCCAGGAGGGTGCGCTCATCGGCTCCTTCGCATTCGTCCGCCTCCCTCGTCCAGCGATCGAGGAAGGCTCGGAGCGTCTCCTCCGATTGTTGCTTGATGGTCAGGAGATGAGCGAAATGCTTCTTCGCACGCTTCCTTCCGGCAAAGTGGGTGAGGAAGCGTTGAGCAAGGTCCTGCCATGAGTCGATGCTCCCCTCCGGAAGGTTGTTGAACCAATCGTACGCTGGTCCTTCCAAGGTGGATAGGAACCAGCGACACATGTACTCTTCCGAAGCGTTGGTCATCATCATATTGTTCTGATAACGGGTGAAGTGCTCCTGGGGATCAGTGCGGCCGTCATATGGCTTGATCGGGTTCCCCTTATACTTCTCTGGGATGGGAGCGGAGAGCACCCTCGCAGAGAAGGGGGTTCTGGTCCGTATCTGGATGACGGGCTCATCGCGCCGGTCAGCCAACTCCCTTTCCAGAGCACTGACCTTGCTCAGGAGCGCGTCGTAGTTGGGATGCTGGGATGTCTGGGCCGATGCGCGCCCTGCGGCCTCTCGGGCCTCCATATCTGCGAGGCGCTTCTCCAGGCGGGCGATGATCTCGTCCCTCGGGTCCGTGTTGGCCGCAGCGCCACCCAGCGGGGTTTGGATCCGGGCCGCGTGAGCCAGGTTGATCTGATGACGCGCATCATCATCATTCAGTTTTCCCTTTCCTTTGTCTTGTCGGGGCCGATCCGTTGTCCGGGAAACGGACCCGAAGCTTTCCTTTGGCGACCCCGGCTCGCGGCCACCCAACCGACCCGCCACCCCTCCCGTAGGTACCCGACGGCTCGCGATGTCACCCAGCCTGTTGAAGGCTGAGATTTTACCGCGAGGTTGGGCCGGTGTATCCCGGGTAGGTGAGGCAGTGTGGGAATGGGTGTCCACGGCGAGGACGTCCTCGTCACCGAAGAAGGTGACGCCTTGCGGACGAGGTGGCGGTGGAGGCACCGTCGCGACCTCTCCGGTTGCCGGAGTGTTGTTCTCCCCTGTCTTTGCGACGAGAGCGCTGACCACGTTGGGGTCCTGGAGAATGCTCGCGACGATGGCCGATAGTGCGGCCGGGTTGATCTGGGGGGGCAGCAGGGTGAGAAGCCTGCTGGCCCGAAGCGCGATCAGCATTGCGCCTGTCCTCGAGCCCGATGCGGGCGTCTGGGGCAGTCTTGTTGAGCTGGACGCGAAGGTCAGCCGTCGCGTGCTCGATCTCCTGAGCGATCTCATCCTGGTTGATGAGGTCATTGGGGACGTTGTCAGCAACGTTTCCCTGCCCTTCCTGGTTCAGAGGGGCATTCCTACCAGTGTTCTTTGATTTAGTCCTTGTCATAGCTAGTGGTAGTGTCTGGTAGCGACGAAGGGTACTCACTTGATCTGTTCTAGGCTCTCAATGAAAGCACCAAATGATAGAGTATTAATTCTAGAGAGAAGCGAGAGCTAGAGAGAGAAAGTGAGTAATTATATTTCTCGAATTGGAAAAGCATCCCCATAATTAGCCCCTTGGGGTCTATTTATAGGTAAAAATGCAGATTTGGGCCCCTAGCCTTGGGCTTAGGAGGCCCATTACAATAACCATGCCTTCTTTGGGCGAATAAGGCCACTAATGGGCTGAGTACAACACTTAGTACAAAAATAGGAAAATACATTCGCCCGGACGAAGTCCGGACGATGCGGTCCATGGACGATGCGGTCCACGGACGACGCGGCCCATGGACGACGCGGTCCATGGACGACGCGGTCCACGGACGATGCGGTTCATAGAAATCAGGCGACATCTTCTCTCTTGGACGCTACGTGCCTCTGGGCGATGCGGGTGTCCCGCTGGTGCCTTTTGGGCCGTTGAGTATGTGGGCCATGGGGTCCAGGCCCATATACTCTATCAAAAACTTATTGGAAAACTTTCACGAACTCTTACATCTCGCACAACCCATGGCGGTGGCTCAAGAGGAGGTCGTATCCTTGGTACCACTTCTCTCTCGGTCGAGTCTCTTTCCTCTTCAAGCATCTCCTCCTCAAAAACCAGTTCTTTTTCCTGATCCCCAATAGTCATGTCCTTATATTTGTTTGCAATTTCCTCCATCTTCCTTTCAAGAATGTTGAAAATTTTAATCGGTCACCTGCAATTAAACCAAAACCGAAACACACCTGCTTCCACCTATTCCGAAGAAGCTGTGCGAGCACAAACGAAGGCAGAACCCTGCCTCAAACGATCGATCACAAAGCCGGAGCACGACCCCTCCCTCCACGATCGAGGAAGAAAATCGGTGTAACAACACAAACCCTAGAGACCCAGACCCTAGGGAGACGTCCGCCTTCCATTGGATGACCTAGCTAAATACTGTAAATACGAACCAGAAATACAAGTTAGGAGGCCGAGCTTATATTAGGGAATTTTTATTGGATGACCAAAACTTAAGATTTCATTATATTATCACTACATTTCTACCACAAATTTTTTCTTGGAAGGTCGATCCCGTCAACCTCCCTTGTCTCATCCACACCGGACACAAAATTTTGTTTCACGATCTTCTCCTAGGTTGAGTACTACCAGTTGCTAATAGCGATATATTTATAATTGTTTTTATCACTCAGGGGATATTACATACACCAATATAGTTATATAGAGGCATATAGCAGATTTTTTCATCAAAACATTAATTATACCATTAATTCAAAAAGAAAAAAAGAAAAAAACCATTAAATTAACAAAAATTATACAAGACCAATTTACTACAAAATAATCCTCTATGTTCTTTAATAATTTTAAAATTTAAACTATTGAAAGATTGTACTTCTACACTTTTTATCAAGTGCGGTACAGAACAAAACATAATTTTAGAGTTCGAAACGTCACTACAAAAAAGATAAGGTTTTGACAGATATTTTTTGGGATTCCTCAAACTCTTTAACACGAATTACTTGGCATGAAATCATTGATTAATTTATCTCAATGTCTAAATTTTTTGTAGTGGCTTGATTCTTGTCACGAATTTGGCAGGAAATCGCAAATCCATGTCGAATTGGTGCCAAAATACCGGGTGTTTTCCCAAAATACGGGAAAAGGTAACATGTGTTTCCAAATTACGGGGATAAAGTTAGGTTTCCTAAGAAAGCGGGAGTCGGAATTGGCTATTCCGACTGGAGGTAGGGTGTCTGAAAGTTTCTGAAAATTTCTGAAAATTAGATGATTAGTTTATTCATCTGGTCGGATTTCCATGTTCCGACTAGTGTATTCTTTTTTTATTTATTGCAGTCGGAATTCCAAAGTCCAACTAGAGGTTTTTTTTTAATTTATTGAAGTGACGTGTATGTTTATTTATTTAATTATTTATACTAAAGATATTTAATTTGTAACGTTTTTTAAAAAGTGATGCTCCGTATTTGTAATTCTAAAAGTGAATTGTAAATTTTGAATGTATTTACATTTATATTTCCTAAAATGAAAAATATGCAGTTTAATTTTTTGAAAATAATATTGGTTACTTTATTGTAATTTTTAATCCATCGGATTAAATTCATAAAATGAATTACATTTTGAGTGAACAAAATTAACTTGTCGTTCACTATTACATGGTCAACTCAAATTATTCTTAGTCTATTGTTTTATATATCAAATTTTTATCAAACTTACAATTTTTATCAGGTTTTGTAGCGGTTTTAATGTAGTCCTCAATATATAGATTCTATTTTCTAGAAATAATCTGAATGTGAACAACATCGTAATCTAAATAGGAAGTTGTTTCAGGGATGGAGGTAGTACAATATTAGTATGATGTACTCTTATGAAAAATTCTAAAAATGAAATATATGATTAATACAGTAGAGTACTCTTATCTGATGAATTTTATTTGATGGTTTTTATCAGATGAATTTTATTTGATGACTTTTTATCAGGTAAATTATATCTGATTAGATCTTATGTGATTTATCTGTTTAAATGTTCTTATAGATGGTCAGATCCTATGGGGTTGAATTTTTTTATGTGGATTGAATTTCATGTAATGGGTTGAATGGGTTGAATCTATTTGAATTTTTTAGGAGGTGCGCCTCGTCAAATAGAACAACAAAGTATAGTTCTCTTTGAATTTTTCGGTTTTATTTGTATTATTTTAAAAAACGAATTCGCTAATATCACTTTATTGGTGGACTTTCTTGTGACAGGGTGTCTGGACATAAAAAATGAAAGATGGTCTTGAGATCTTCTTGACGAGACGCACCTCCTAATATTTAGAGACTTTTGAAAATGAGAGTTAGTTTTTCTAACGGCGTTAGATGTCTCACTTTGCCGGCTGTGATAACGGAATTGATAAACATGTCTCACTTTATTAGAGTGTGTTGTTCTACGATGTTTTTACTTGGACTGTAATTCATCCCAGACCAGACCAGACCAGTTCAGGCCAGACAAGACCAGACTTGGATAGTTATAAAATTACAAAGAGACCGGACATTACCAGAAAAGACGAGTTCAGACCAGACTAGACCAGACCAGCAAATTATAATCCAAGTAAAAACATTCCTATTTACAACTACAATTATTGTGTAGCAATTGTTTTGGAATTATTTATTCTCCACCAACTAGTTACTTTACAAGTTTTTTAGCACACAGTCGGAACTCCCTTTTCCAACCATTTTTTTTGTTTTTGTTTTTAAGCACCGAAACAACTTTTCCAACTATTTTTTAAATAAAAAATATACTTTTGTCGGAATTGGCAATTCCGACTATCATTATTTCCAGTCTTCTTTCCAGTCGGAATTTGTGGTTCCGACTCCCGCTATTTGGTACTCAATTTGAAATCCCGTGTTTTGGCATGTCAGACCAAAAATTCCCGTTATTTGGTAATTTCCTCCAAAATACCTACCAAATAGGTTTTGCCGCTTTGGCACGAATTGCTCTTGCCAAATCCTTAACAAAGATTCATGCCAAATTTGTGCTAATCCGTCCCTTTAGTTTTGTAATAAGGATTCATGGTCGTACACTCGTACTCTCTTATTCTAGCATATTTCTGCCACCGATCTTAATTAAGAAATTGCTTGATGATCATATTCGATCTTGTCAAGTTTTGGCTCAAGCTTGAGACACCCATAATCCTCTTTGGAGGGGGTCTTTTTTGAAATAAACTTCTTATTTATTACCATAAGAATAAAAATAAGAATACGAGTAAGAGTATTAAGTAGTTTCTGATTCCATTTCTCATTCCAAATTAGGGCTAGACTGACTTTTATTCGATACATATACATTTACAATGTAGCTCATTTAATCAATGTATTTATAATTTACTTATTTGAGCTCTCTAGACCAATAACATTTATTGAAAATGTGGTGATGACAAATTAAAAGTGTATCATTGTAGACATAAAGTTTTGCAAAGATGCAAATGTATGTGCATTTGGAAGGGTTTGTAGTAAGGAGAGACAAAATACTTCGAGAAAGAAAGTTTGTATAATATAAATTTAATAATATGGGTCAGAATAATTGAGGTTGGTGGTCTTGAAGAAGGTAAATAGAGATAGAGAATAACTTTGATGTGGAATCTTAAAAGTCAAGGTCAAGCCAGATTGTTTATCTTGGTGCTACGGAGAGAGAGGAAAGTCATAAAAAAAGTTTAAAAAAAGTTTTATGACTTATATGTATTCTTGTGTTTATATCTCTTTTAAGCATTTGTATATGGAGAAGGCAGATGACACTAAGATATCTTTAAAATATCTCATGATTTACGCCTTTAATTTTCTTTAACATTTTTCAAGAAAGTTGTTTAGTAATGTCAACCTTATTGAGCGGATGAATCTTTTAACCATTGAAATATAAAAGCACCATATAGAATAATTATTAGTTTATAGTATAGACTTTTAACTTTAAAGACTTTTTATATCACTGAGCAAAATGAATTTGATTTTGAATGAAAGTTATTAACAACCTGCTTATATTAGAAGCAATATTTAAAATGATCTCTCATACGGAGTAGTATATACTCCATAGGTTTCATTTTACTAAGCATCTTATAATTATTTATTGAGAGGAGAAAATTAAATCCCACGCCATCTGGTCGATATTATTTTCCTTAATTTCAAGATGGGAGATTTTATTTTACATACAACTTCTTTTATCAATCAAAAAACAATATAATAAACATATTTCAAACATGGGAACTAAGGAGGTTTTCTTTTGGACTGAAATTTGCTGGTCTGGTCTGCTTTGATTTGGTCTGAACTGGTCTGATCTGACATGGGACTAAAAACAGATCAAAAGAAAACATTCTAAACTCTATTCCCTAATTTCAAAAGAAACTCATATATCATCAATGAAATAAACACATGCATTATATTATATTGTCACCATTTCAATGATTTTAATTTAGTCATGCTCTCATCTTCGTTCACTAGTTACATATTAAGTGTGTGCTTTTAGGGAAACAGTGTTTTGTTTTTCTGAAAAATAAAAAATTAAAGCTTGCGCAATACACAATGTCCTTAAGATCAATTCGCTGCCTCTCATAGTGCTAGAAGCCTCGCGGCGTCAGTTTCCCATGATACGATGACTGACGAACAACTGTATTCAGCATTCAATAGGTTGCTCTGCCGAACTGGAACAAAAGGTAGAATTCAGGAAGTTTTAATTTATCGGAAGTTTGACAGAGTTTTTCGTTTGAGAGAACAATGCAGCGAGTATGTGACAATATTTCAGTATGCTCAATGTGCTCAATATTTTTTCCAAAAGATTTTGACGAAGCATATATAGGGGAGGATGAGCCTTTGTATTAATTATGCACTAATACCACACTTATTGTGGTGAAATTGCCCATTAAACACGTCTTAAGAGTTGGAACGTCACAAACCATTAACCACACAATTAAACCATGCATTAATCACATATTATAGTTTCAGAACGTTAACCAACGTTCGAAACACTTCTTGTTTGAAGAAGAAATTAAAAGGTTCATAAACCGAATGACATTCTACGTTTAGGATGTTTTTACTTGGATTGTAATTTGTTGGTCTGATCTGGTCTGAACTGGTCTGATTTCTCTGTATTTTTGTAACTATCCAAGTCTGGTCTGATCTGGTCTGGGACAAATTACAGTCCAAGTAAAAACATCCTAGTTCTACAATTGAACTTTGAGGATCAATTTCTCATTCACCTGTTATCCGTTTTAAGTATACTGTATATTGCATTGAACCTCTTACCAAGGGGAACTCGAATCCACTTTGACCCGACCCAAATTAGAAGTGGACAACACTTGAAAATCTGCCCGAAAATGGCAATTTAATGCAAATTTAATACTCCCTTCGTCCCTGAAAACTTTGCCAACTTTCCTTTTTGGTTTTCCCACTAACTTTGATACTTTCTCTTTTAGGTAAAAAATTTGTCGTTTCAGTTAATTCTCTCTCTTATACACAAACCTCAACCACACTGTTTTTACTTTATTAATCCTTGTGCCAATCAAACTTGACTAAGTTTTAAGGGACGAAGGAAGTACAAATTTTCCAACAATACCCCACATGATTGGAAATTGATTTTCAAGACTTGAAAAAG